AATTCCCCAGCCACCAATTCTGGGAGTTGAAGTCCACTCATCTTAAAGTTGACAAGGTTGAGAAACACAGTTATACACACTGAAAAAGAAGGTAAAACAAAGAGAAAATAGAAACAGGACCACCCTCTTAAGAAAGAGAGCCAAGTATTCTGTTATATGGGGCAAAACAAAAGGGAGAAAGAAATGGAATGGATTATTTTATGTGTCTGCATATATGTGCATGTGTGCATGTGTGTGTGTGTGCATGTGTGTACATATTGCTGTTTGGTTCCTTCCTTCCTGGGAAATGACCGCCTAATAACACCATGCATGAAGACATACACACACCATAGCAGCACTTTCTCCAGCTCGAAACAAGATAGGCTCAAAAACACAATCAAAACAAATATGATGGACATTTGAAAGAAGTGCTCAAGCAACATGAACACAAATTCTTGAAGTGCAGTCTTTTAGCTGAGCATGTGGGAGGCATAATTTGGTGAGATTTCGTTATTTCCACCTCCTGCACTACAACTGGCAGGGCCTGAAAGATCTTTCCACTCTGACCAAGAATTAGAATTGCTTGGCCAGTCAACCTCCTAGATGGGCCTTCTCAGAGGCATTTTGCCCTGCTTGCCCTATTTCTGTGCAGTATTTCCAGGATAGTCTTATGGCAGAGTTTAGGACAATCTTGCAACTCTTCTTTCCCACACACTCTTACCGCATCAATGATAACAGAACGTGGTGTCCTCCCAGTGAAAACATAGCCAAGTTTTCTTGCTCCTTTGACTAAGGCTCCTTCATCTGACAACAGAAAGAGTTTGCCATTACAAATACAGGAATATGGTTGGGTTTTTTAAAAAATAATAATAAAAGGACAGTGCAGATGCGCCTTTACAAAAACTTCCCAATTCCCCAAAGCAGCTGCAGAAGATCCCCAAACTTTTCAGAAACTCATCCAAATCAGAGCTTCCTCAACAGGAATATAGTAATGTCAGGCAACCTTCTCTGAAAGGCAACATGAGTTCATTATTGTCATCATGTCTGCCATGGCTAGTCCTTAGACTTCTCATCAAGGGGCAGAAGACTTGAGAAATCCTCAGGAAATCCCACAGTCAGGATGTTCCCAGCACTGACACCATCCTAAGGCTCAGAAAATGAGCCCCAGCAGAACTTCCACCTCCACAGTTTTACAGAAATCTGAGATGGCAAAATCAAACAGAGGCTATGTAATACAACCAAGTTATTTTTTCATAAATGGAGGAATTATTCCAATCTACTGGAATATTTATTTTTAAAAACACTTCTGTGCCACTCCAATCATTACTGTAAGCAACTCTGAGCAAAACATACAATATACACAATGCATTAAAACAGTTCAAAATGATCAAAATGATCAAATAAAAATAAATACTTCAACATAAATTCAATATAATCATAATATCATAAGGCTTCAGAATGTTGTAGAGGTAATATACTGGGAGAAAGATGTAAATCGAATGAAGGAGGGGAAAAACTAAGGTGACCCTCCTCAACCCAATTGCAAACGGAATTCTGTTACTTCTTTTGAAGAAGGCACAAAAATTTACCTCTTTCCAGCAAATGCGAAATTTCTGATTCAGCCAAGAATTCATTTTGATGGGGGGAGGGGTGTAAATCAACTCAAATAGGAGGACTCACTTGGAACTATCTATTTCTCAGTCCTATTTCTCAGTACACTTGTCTTGCCTCCCATGCAGTTCTCATGTAGCCACAGAACTGAACAATGTCCAGGAAAGCAAGCACAGACCTGCAAAGACTACCTTGTTAATCTCTACCTGCATTGACCAGAATGTTCTTATTCCTAGTATCAGATTGCATGTAGCTCCTGGTCCTCACTCTAAGAACTCTAGATGGTACGTGCATGAATGTATGTACTATATATACTAATTCAACACAATCTGTCTTGTGCCATAGACAAGATTCCCCCAGTCCCTTGTTCTTCTCATGGCTCTCTACTACAACAAAAGGAGTAACTAACCTGGGGAGGAGGCCTGGTAGATGATTGTGTTTCCATCCCTTTCTGGAACAACAGTGTGACACACAGCCAGCAGAGTGAGGAATTCTTTGATGTGCATGGCTGTGGGCTAGAATGCAAGGGCCAAGTTAGTCCAATGAATATGACCTGTGACATTCTGAAAAACTTCTTAAGTTTTCACTGTTAGAGACAGAGAGCAAATAAAGTGGCTGGATGTTACTTCGCCTTTGTTATTTTTCAAAAAGATAATTACATTATACAGCTTATTGGATTTTACTCAGCTAAGGTAATAAGGTAAGAACAGCTTTGCCAGGTGAGACCAATCATCCTCTTTGTTTCTTGCATTCATTGTTCATATGACAAGTATATCACCTCAGCTCAAGCTTGGTCTGCTAACACAAAGCAATCTACTTCCCAGCAAAGCCAGGCCTGGAGGGACATCCCATAATTTTCCTACATTAAAATCAATTATTTAGTCTGTTTTTGTCTTTCTATGTTCACGGTGTACAATGATTCCATCCACCCAATTTTCTGGGAACAATGAGGACAATCTTATCACATCAGCTCTTCTACAAAGCTGCTATTCTCCCTTTGATGGACAATCAGCAGTGATGCTATATTTATTTTTCTGCTGAATATCAAACCAAATAGTTAAAGACATTACCTCAGAGTTATCTGTAAATGCCAGCCATGGATGGATGGATGGATGGATGGATGGATGGATTCACTCAAAAGGAAATAACTCAAGAGGGTGGTGGGTCACAGGATTTCTCTCTAAGCCCCTCAATGAGCACATTAGTACAGTGGTACCTCGGGTCACGAACTTAATTTGTTCCGCGACTGGTTGCGACCCGAATTGGTCGTGACCCGAATCAAATTTTCCCATAAGGTTCAATGTAAA